GCCTCTCACTCTCTCTCTCTCTCTCTCTCTCTCTCTCTCTCTCTCTCACACACACACACACACACACACACACACACACACACAGACCCTCTAAGGCCTAAGCCCTGCCAAGCCTGGTGTCTCTCCTTCCTCCTCTAACAGCCAATGACAGTGACAGGGCTGAACCCAACCTTGGGGACTAGAGTGCAAACTCTGCTTGTCCCATAAGGGAGAACATTGAAATCTCAAGCCCAAGATGAGGGAGAGAGGGATGGAGCCAGTAATACCATAACACCTGCCAGACTGGGGAAGGGTCTGAGCCCTCCTCTGCAGCTTATGACCTTCAGCCCCTGCCTCTGTGGTCAGGAGGACCCTGAACAGATGACTTTTCAGTTCCCAAGACCAAAGACCATCTCACGTGTGGCCCCAGTTCCCACCTTCTCAACATCTGGACGTGCTCCGGGGAGCCATTAATCTCCGGCAATTTCTTTCCTCGCTTGATTTGTTTATTTAAGGAAAACAAGTTGCTCCTAATTAGGAGCGCTGCTGTCAAGATGTTTGGCACATTCTAAGATGCCTATTTTCAGACCTTCTGCCTAAAATTATACCTGCGCTCCCAACATCTGTGGGAGTGTTCAGCAACTGTCCTAGGTAGAGGCTTCTGGTGAGAGAGACTCCAGTGGTTAGGGGTGGGGGTGAGAGGCCAGAAACACGGAGTGTCTGGGAGGACACGTGCACCATCCTGGCACACTCAGAACTGGCACCGGTAGAACTGGCACTCGCAGGGTGCTCTGCACAAAGCACGCAGCAGAGATCCCACAGTTCACAGCTAGGGCTGGCTTGTGTTTGGAAGCATGCAGCACGATCACTTTCTTCCTTACTATGAGTTCACACTATTGCAGACACTCAGCTGCAGCTGTGGAGACCCTCTTGTTTGGATGCACACACACACACACACACACACGAGGCACATGCAGAATTCACACAACCACACACACCCAGTGACATGCAAGGAGATGCAACATGACACTGACTCACACACAGATGTATGTGAAATTTAGATGTCGTCAGAGACATATGGACACACTCGAATATGTAGATACCAACACCATAGACACAGCGGCACACCATAGATACCAACACTAAGGAATATATATAGATACAACCAAGTGTAAAATGCTCCACACAGGCACGCACATACATGTCTATGCACACAAAACTATGCATGGCAACACAGAAACACACACACAGGAACACATGTGCAGAAACACAACACTCATGGGTTTCTAAACTCATGCATACATACAGACTCATGGAGATGTGAGAAAGAGGTATACATACCCGGAGAGGTTACAGGCAAGTGTGTAAGGCTGTGTGTCTAAATTCCGAGATTCTTAGATCCATATGCCCAAGAGTCCACAGCACAAACTCACCTCACACAGAACTCAGAAACACTTGCAGACTTCGAGTACCTGCATCGAGGCAGACACAAACAGCTGCCCAAACAGGCATCCCCACACAGACCCTCACAGCACGCATGCATGTAACACACACACACACACACACACACACACACACACACACACAGACATCCCCACATTTGCCCAGACACGCCTCCCATCCCCATTTTCTTGCAGTCACACACAGGCACGCAAGTTCATAAACCCATAGGCACATCCTCATCAGATGTCAAGTTCATGCTCACACTGATATTCACACATGTGTGCGTGCACACATGGATGGCATGCTCATGAGTACAAGTGCACATACCTGCTGACACTGCATCTAGAAGAACAGTCACACGCACCCCCATTCCCTATTCCACTAGAACAGGCTGTTCATTTTAGAGTCCCTAAAGTCAACTGTACTGACTCCAGCCATGCAAGGCAGAACTATCCCTAAAGCTACTCTGCCTTACAGAGTATGGGACAAGCTGGGACAATCTCTTCCCGTTCACGGCCTCTGCAGGAACCCAGGGCCACCCCCAGGCAAACCTCACCACCAGTCAAAAAGAGATAAAACTGACCTCAGTGTCCCATCTCACCCTATCTTGGCCTGTTTTCACTCTACGGCACCAGAAAACCCTTCTTTCCAGCATTGGCTGTTCCTGCCAGGAACAGCAGCCCAGTCTCCCCAGGCCCAGATTGGATGCCTGACACAGGAGCAGACAGAACTTCTCTGCCCTGAGTCCCTAGACAGCAGCAAAGTTGAAGCCATGGAGACAGCTTACCTCCATCTCCTGTTGTCATGACGACGCAGCAGCTGGGTGCATCCAGCCCTCCCAGACCGCTCTAAGCTCCCCACTGGTAGCAGCTGGTCCAGCAGTGTGTTATGAGGAAGCAGAGAGAGGGCAGGGGCTGCAGGTAGTTTGCGACTGGAGAGACCTAGAACCCTGTCACCCAGCAGAAGATCCCCTAGTGCTGGGTGATGGACTTCAGCCTCCCTGGGGAACCACCTCCACCCCAGAACCCAGGCACAAGACCTGCAAACAGGCAGTCCCATTGTTCCCTTGGCTGTCAGACTGAGCATAGTGCTCCACTCACCACCGCAGCTAGTGCTCCCAGAACCCTGATGAAGGAGAACTATGAACTCCCCACTTTACCATGGTAGAGTGGCCATGGGCCACTCACATCTGATCTGAGACATGGGTTCTTAAACACCAAATTGTATCATCCCTTGGGATTTCTGTGACATTGCTCACAGGCCATAGAGTGCCTGAATGGGGACCTTTGGAGACACAGGACATCTCTTCATTTTCAGAGAAGTGACAGCTGGAACTCAGAGACGTCCAGTGGTTTGTTCAAAGTCACAGCAAATTGAAGGCAGATTTGAAGCTCAGCCTCCTGACCAAGAGCTGGGGCTTTCCCCAGATATCAAACCCTGGCCTCCAACACCCTGAGAAATGCCTGGGTTTGGCAGCCTACAGAAGTGCTTCTAAATGTGGCCTCAGATCCGCATCTCAAGCACAGACAAGAGGTCCTTAGATCCCACCTTATGACTCAAAAGCTGTCCAAGACTTACAGCAAGGCTGCATCCTAGAGGCAAGCGCCCACCCCAGCAAGGGGCCAATCCAGGGCCAAGGGATCATTTCCTAACCCAGGTCACAGCCAGAAGAGTATTCAGTCTGGCTCTTGGCAAATCGAGTACACTAAAGACCAACCAGTAAGTCTCCCTGACCCCAGTCCTTGGCAGGAAGTGAGGCTGTGGCCACAGGGTGGCTGGGTGGCCTCTTGGAAGCAAGCTTTCACTAGGAGAAGTATGTGACCACACTGCCTGGGCTTGGAACAGTCTCAAGGACTGGAGCGCAGGCGGCCACCAGCATCCCCAGAACTGGGCAGGAGAGCTCAGGAGCCCCCAGTCACCAGTCCCCTCAGCCCCTTTCTGCCTGCTCCCTCTGAATGGTCTCTTTGAGCACTGCAGGCAGCTTCCTTGATTTCTTTCTCTTTTTTTTCCCTCCCCTAAAGAGCTGCCCTTCTGGAGCTGCCAGGAGTGGGAGATGACCTCCTCCCCCTTAGAGGCCCTGCAAAGGAGCTGAGGGGTTCCTGCAAGGAGCTTGGGCCTGCTGGAGAGATTTGGACCGAGCCATGTGGCTCTCTCCCACACACGGCTCAGGACCTACAGAAGCCAGTCTGCAAAGTGGGTTTTCCAGAGCTGGGGGGCTCTGGGTGCTGCTTCCTGGCACAGGGGGAACCTCGTTTCCTAATGACACCCCAGCCAGCACCCGGGAAGGCCAGATGACTGGCTCCTACTCCATGGGGACTCGGTGTTGGCCAGGAGGAGGCAATGCATGAATTCTCTCAAAAGGCCCCCAGCTTCTCCCTACCCGGCCCGGCTTGCACAGCCCAGGAGACCTGCAGGGATGTCCTCAATTCGCATCCTCAACCACGGGAAAGTTTGTCATTTACCAGGAGCTGACTGTCAGCGCTAGGGGCTCTTCCCTGGGAGGCTCTAGGCGCTGCGCCCGCGTCTGCAGCAGCCGGGACGGGCATTGCAGCGGGCAGGGGGCTCGCTGGGGACCCATGGCGGTGGCTCCTTCTTACCTGGGGATGCGCCGTCTGCGAACTCCGCCGCCGAGCTCAGCCGCCGCCCGAGGTCGCCCAGCCGGGGCCGCAGCGCTGAGCAGCGAGCGCAGCCGGGTCCTGCTTGTCCGGCCGCAGCGGGACCCAGAGCAGCGACTGCGGCTGGCCGGGTACCTGGAGGCGCCGGGGGCGGCGGGGCGTGCGGGCTACCGGCTCCGGGAGCGGATGGCAGCCCCGCACCTCCCGGCCCGAGATCGGCGCGGCTCCCTGCGGCTCCGTGGTCGGTCTGCAGCCTGAGCTCCCGCTCCGTGGCCGCCTCCGCCCGCAGCTCCCCGCGCCCGGCCCGGCGCCGCCTGTGCTTAACTCCTTGCGCGCCACCCGCGTCTCCAGCCTCCCGCCGTGCGGGGCGCAGGCCACGACTTCCCAGCCTCGGCGACCGGGTCTGTGCAATGGGCGGGAGGCCCTGTTCCTCTAGGCGGTGGGAGGATGAACTGAGATCCAGCAAGGGGTCCCGGCGCCTGGCAGCGAGCGAGCGATCCCTGCGTGCTGTGCGCTTCAAAGCCTTGGCACCATGCCTGGCAAGCAGTTTCAAAAAATCCAACAAAGGGCAGTTTTGTTGGTGGGTGTTCAGTTTGTTGTTTTAACAGAACTTGGGTTTAGCTGTGTGACCTCTGGGAGATCAAGCTCCTTCTCTGAGTCTGTTGGCTTTTTGGCTGTGTGACCCTGGGCAGGGCACAAGGCTGCAACCGCATCTGTAAACTGTGAACATAAAACCACCTACAGAAGATTCCCACTGAGCAACCGCAGGCACCAGGGGGCATCTGACACGAATGGAATTATCTTTTGTTTCTTGACCCCTGCTGTGAGACCCACAGGCATTTGTGGAAAGCCATCCTGGTGTGGTTGTGGTTCACATATCTAGAACTGTTCTAGGCAGAGGTCTGAGGGTAAAAATATTTGTCTTTTTAAATCCTCGGGTGTGTGTGTGTGCACACGAGTGACATGGCACTTATGTGGATGTCAAAGGACAACCTCAGATATCAGTTCTCACCTTCCACCTTGTTTGGGATGGTCTCTTGTCCACCTCTGGGTGGCCCCTGAGCTTCCCAGGTTCTTCTGGCTCTGCTTCCATCTCTGGGTAATAGCACTGGAATTGCAGAGGTGAGCTACTGGATTCGAACTCAGGTCCTTATGCTTGCAAAGCAAGCGCTTTTACTCACTAAACCATCTCCCCAACCCCAAATTTGCTTTTGTGTTTGAGTGGTGGTTCTTTTTTAAAAAAATATTTTATTTATTTTTATTTTATGTGTATGAGTGTAGTGCCTGCATGTGTGTAAGTGCACCCGTGCTGTGCAATACCCTCAGAGGTCAGAAGAGGGCTTCAGATCCCATGGAACTGGAGTTACAGTTGGTTGTTAGCTGCCATATGGGTGCTGGGAATCCAACCTGGTTCCTCTGCAAGAACAGCCAGTGCTCTTAACCACTGAGCCATCTCTCCAGCCCAAATGCTGATTCTTGAACAAAACAGAGCTAGGATCAAGTGTCCTGGCTCAGCTACTTTATGGCTGTGTGATCGTGACCAAGGTGCCTCATGGCCATGTGCCTCAGTTTCCCCATCCACAGAGCAGGAATAGCACAGAGTAGGAGTAGACCTACTCAGTTGGCAATGTGGGGGTTATAGGGCCCAGTATAGACAAAGACATGGCCTGATACAGTGTTGGCTAGTCACAGTCTCATGTCATGATGCTGTGCATTCTGTAGGAAAAGGGTGTTGGGAAGACCTGGGAGAGCTGATTTGACCCTCACAGAGAGTTGTGTATAAATAAATGCAAGATGCCGACTTAAATTTGCAACTGGAATATGAAAACTCAACAGCCCACCTCCCATTTCTTTTTCATTACTGCCTTGAATGCTAATATATTGGGCATCTTGTGTTTTCCATTTGCTAAATTTTCCCATGTTCTTGGTGCTGTGACAATATATCTGACAAAAGCAGCTGAGGGGGGGAAATGTATTTTGGCTCCTGGTATATGGGGACAGTCCGCCACGGAGGGAAGGCAAGGTGACAGTGCGGGAGGCTACTGGTCATAACCTTCCACAGTCAGGAGGCAGAGGGACATGAAGGCTGGTGCTCAGCTCACTTCCCCCCTTTTCCCTTTCATATCATCAGTCTGGACCCTAACCTATGGGCTAGTACCAACCACATTCAGGGTGTGCCTTCCCTTCCTCAGTTAAATGTCTCTAGAAGTATCTCCCAGACACATTCAGAGGTGTCTCTCCTAGGTGAGTCCAAATCCAGCCAAATTAACAGTGGAGACAAACCATCTCACCACCTTAACTCCAGAGCTTGCTGGGTGCCTTGGGGTAAGTTGCTTAACCTCTCTGGCCTCCATGGCTCTCCATCTGTAAAACACTGTCTTTTTGACACTGACCAGAGAATGAAGCTGATTGAGGTAGCTGACTTCCAGCACACAGTGAACACTCCTCGTCATTCCTTACACAACCACCGTCCCCAGCCCTCGTATGCTCTTCCTCTCTCTTTCTTTGCTTACCTATGAGGTGACCAGGGCTCCCACACATTGCTTATACCTATTGCTGGTCTTTGGAGCTAAGAGGTAATCACTATGGAGTGTGCACAGTACGTCTGTGAAGCTGAGGATGAAGGAATACTGCCTGCTTGGTCTCTGGACCAAACCCTGGGACAAACTCATTTTTGCTGAGGGCTCACCCTGCTCCAGACTAGTCCCCACTGTCAGAAAGGGGTTGAGTTTCTGAGGGGAGCACCATCCTCTCTATAGGTGTCTACGAGAGCTCAGGTCTTACTGCTCCAGCCAAGGCCTAGACTTTGAAGCAACAACGCAGCCCTTGAAATAAATGAGAAAGATCAAAATGGTGACGTAAGAGAGTTTCCCAGCGTTAGATCAGACATCTTTGAGCTACATTCATAGAACAAGTCACCCGCCCATGTATCACTCATTCCAAACACTGAGTCTAAAAATAGAATTTGCTCTAATTTAGGGAGTAGCTGAGGCAAAGGCAGAGAATGAGAGGGTAGGGAGAACTATGTCCAGCTGTGGGTGATACCCCCCACCATGTTTGATGAAAGGAGGGGACTCCCAGTGATAGAAGATTCTAGAGTCAGCTACATCCAGGATGGAGCCCTGGCCCTGTCATCTCTCTGCTGGGCAGATTGGGGAAAATTAATTAACCTCTCTGGGCTTCAGTGTTCTAGAAATAGAGGCTTTCTTGCAACTGAGTGACAGGTGTCTATGGGTGGTTTGCCTCCTTGCCTGCATTAAGCAGACCGGTCAGGACCCATGATCATGTCGGATAGCAGGCAACAGCCCAGGTGAGTGAGAGAACTTTCCCAGAGTTAGATTTTTGTTTGTTTTTATGTTTCCAGGTGCTAAACTACTGGCATATACATTAGTATCTATGAGTTCGAGGCCAGCCTGGGCTACACAGCAAATTCAAACCCCAGGCTAGCCTGGGCCATGAGACTCTGAAAAACCAAGAAGAGAGGAAGGAGTGGAGGTGGGGTGGAGGTGGGGTGGGGCTGGTAAGCCATGTTGAGAACTGACTAGCAGTGTGTAGCTGTGGCTTTGTCCTAGGGGCAGGTCTACCTAGCAGCAGTCTTTCAACAGCATGGAGCCTGGGCACGGCTGAACTGAGTTGGCCCTGCTCCGTCTATAGCCCTGCATTTCTGCTTTCTTGCTGGATTGGTGGCCTGCTGCTCCACAGCTCCCCTCTCCACACAGAGCCGTGCCCTGAACCCCTAGCCCTCCCACATCTGACCACAGTTAGGAATTGGTTTCCTGTGTCACCTTCTGAAGATCAAGATCTGAATCTTGTAACTAATTCTCTTTCCCCAGCACCCAACATGGCTGGGCACAGAGTAGATGCTCTGGAAAAACAACCAAACAACCTGATGAGTTAATTAAACTGTACAGTTGTTTCCCAGGTCTACTGACTGTGGATGTAATGTGACAGTCACCTGGTGCTCCTGCTGACATGTCTTTCCTACTTTGATGGACTGTATCTCTTCCAACTGTAAGTCAGAATAAACCCTCCCTCCCTTAACCAGCTAATAGTCAAGTACTTGGGCATATCAATGAGGAAAAACTAATATACTTTCCATATATGGTTATGTCTTTAAAAATGCACACACCAGGAATCACTATGGCTAGACAGGGCTGTTCTCCTTCAGCAAAATGGTATCACAGGGAAGATGACTGACGTATGACTCATCTCAGGACCACACAGGTAAGTGTCACAACAGAACTGGGGGGAGGTTGTTTGGCTTTTTGTTTTTTAGATACAGTCTCACTATGGAGACCATGCTGGCCTCAAACTCACAGCAATCTGCCAGCCTCTGCCTCTCTAGTGCTAGGATTAAAGTTGTGCTCCACCACAACAGACCACAAATAGTCTTAAACAAAAGTATCAAATCCAAAACAGTTTCAGTGCTCACTGCCATTTGTTTCTGGCTTTTTGTTGTTTTTTGTTTTGTTTTGTTTTGTTTGTCTTTTTTCTTTTTGAGACAGTGTCTTCCTGTAGCCTCAGCTGTCCAGGAACTTGCTATGTAAACCAGGCTGGCCTCAAGCTCAAAAAGATCTGCCTGCCTCTGCCTCCCAAGTGCTGGAATTAAAGGCACTCACTGCCATTTGTAAATAAAGTTCAGAAGCTCTGTATATTGGAAGAGGGGTCATGCTCTCGTGAAAGGCTGTTAGAGGCTGCTGGTTAAAGCAGGGGACTTTGGGGAGCTGACCATGTTCCCTGGCTGGCTTTGTAGGTGCATCCAGTCCTGGACCTGAATTCTCACTGTTTGTGACTATGTTAGGCTTAATTTAAAATGGAATTCAAGTGCAAAAATGTGCAAATTCCAGTATTTTAGCCTTTATTAGTTAGCAGGCCTCATTACTACCCAGCCAGGTAACTGGAGTCTAAATACTCTCCCTTCCAGAGCGCTGGCCTTGAACTCACCTTGCTTCAGATTACCTGAAATGTGAATTGTCTGCACAGAACCAGGGCAGGTGGAGACAAGGGCCAGGATCAGGACATGTGATCCAGAGAGACAGGACAACCACCCAAATTATCTGATTTGGCAGATTCCTGGGATCGGATGACCCA